ATAGTTAAGTGGACAAAATTGGACCGGTTCCTAGATCACTGTTCATCTCTAGTCAACACCCTACACATGTAATAACAATGGTGCAACACCTATACTATAGATCTGGAATATTTCTCTCTCAACAAAAAACGTGGAATATCAAGTTGATGATGATAGGACTATCAATAATTTGTGCTCAAAATGTCATAAAGTAAATAGTATTATATCATTATGTTTTGTATATCAGGTAAATAAATCTAATATAGAATTACATCTCATTATAGTGCTCAACTTTTACACATATATATATTAATTGACAAAATTAATGTATAACATACTCGATTCAAGATCATCTGACTGACCCTTCCTTCAACCATTAGTGGAATTAAGGTATCACCACTTCTATTTCGGAAATAATTACTTGTCTTTTGGAATGCCTTACTCAGCACTGTCTTAAGCTTTTTGCTTGAAACTGTTCCTTTCATCATAATAAATTATGATAGTGTGTTGTTGCAAGGTAGTTTACTTATATATATATATATATATATATATATATATATATATATATATATATATATATATATATATATATATATTGGTGGCATTCTATTACATCGCTGTGAGCTAAATTTGTCTAGATAAACCACTGATGGACTGGCTTAGCGAATTGGCCCGTCGCTGTTTACAACAAACTGATCTAGCTGCCTGGCTGGCTAGTTGGCTGGCTGGTCGGTTGGTTGGCTGACTGGCTGGCTGGTTGGTTGCTTGCCTGACTGGCTGGCTGGCTGGTTGGCTAGTTGGCGGGGTGGCTGGTCGGTTGGTTGGTTGGTTGGCTGGCTGGCTGGCTGGCTGGCTGGCTGGCTGGCTGGCTGGCTGGCTGGCTGGCTGGCTGGCTGGCTGGCTGGCTGGCTGGCTGGCTGGCTGGCTGGCTGGCTGGCTGGCTGGCTGGCTGGCTGGCTGGCTGGCTGGCTGGCTGGCTAGAGAATTTTATAGGTCAGTCTGAGTGGATTTGAACTATGTGAGTTGTTCAATAGTGGTATATTTCGTATCACACTTTCTAATCTTCACCACAAGGTGGTTTTCAACAGTTTTCTTTAGTTGTACTGACTACTTTGACACTTTAGTTTCGTAGGAACACAGTGTTCAGAAACTGTTCCCAACTATATTAGGATATATTGTGATATAAATGTTAACAGGTCTAGTCTAAAAAACATTCATACCTACTCATATATGAAAGTGCCATAACTTTGATAGTCAAATAGAAAAGTACCAATTTCCTTTCGTTTTATTCTATATACTCATTTACTACACCTTTTGCTTAACAAACCACTTGTGAAGGCAGTAGAAGTTGAGTCAAATAAGAAGAAAGCTCATAGTGTCCAAAGAAAGATGGTAACAGACCATGAAGTTTCGAATTCTTGGTCTAAGACATTCAGGAAAACATAGACCACTTTGTTTGGGTCTTTGGGGCTATGAGAACCCATGCTTGTGGATTCTTGACTGAAAATCGATCACAATGATGCAGATTTATTCACCGATTTGACTCCTTCTATGACTTGAATGCTGAGACTAACTTGTATTTTTGAGTTTCCTCTTCTCCCCGACCCTTTGTTTTACTCTGTTATAACTCTTTTTCTGCCTACTTGTTCTTTGTATGCTAATGTGAAGTGTGACAACTTCAGTCGATGTATTTTTATGCGAGGATCTGTGTTGATTTTGTTTGTCTGTCTATTAGACCTTCTGTAGGGTTATAATCAGATCGGCTGAAAATAATACTTAAAGTTTGAGAGATATGAAGGGATGTACATGTGAGTTAGATGGTACAAGTCATATATATTTAGTTCAGAAGAACGATGAAACATCTATATACCACTACCCTAGTTACTATTCAGTCTTGATACGGAGATAGTTGATCTCATGCAATGGGTGCACTTATGCTCGATATTAAGCCATAAGTTAGGTGCTTGTTAGCAAATTTTGTTAGAGCATACTTACAGCCTCACATAAACACATTATTATTATTATTATTACTATTATTATTAGTCCCTTGGGTTCCTAATGGAACATAGGGTTTCAGTAGCACGTCTCCAGTGAACTCTGTTCGCCGAAATCTTTTGAACCTGGCTCCACAACAGCCCAGAAGCTCTCATTTCCTCCTTGCACGATCTCCTCCATGTCACCCTCACCTCGGACACCCAACTCGTCACTTCCCATGGGGATTTCACTCGAGTGACTGGCCTGACACGTGAGGTCCCCAGTCAGCCTTCTCAGTGTATGCCCAGTCCATCTCCACTTCCTTCCAGTGCATATTTGTTGGGTGATAGGTTCTTGGTTGGTTTGTTCCCAGAGCTCCTTGTTGCTCATTCTTTCTGGCAATCCATCTGATCTTCAGTAGTGAGCGTAAGCAGTTGTTGATGAATGTCTGTAGTTTATTGGAAATGCCTTTCGTAACGCGCCAAGCCTCTGAACCATACAGAAGCACTGACTTGACGTTGATGTTGAAAATCCGTGTCTTGTTCCGCATGCTCAGTGCAGTATATCTCCACAATGGTTTCAGGCTAATGAACACCTGTCTTGCTTTTCCGATTCTGACTTTGACATCCTCGTCTGTGCCGCCTGTAGTTGAAACAGTGCTTCCTAGACATACTATCTCTAAAACTTGAATAGATATCCCTTAATTTCACATTATTGAAGAGTATTCTCTAAACATTCGTGATTAGTTTATGCGTAAAATTCAATCTCATGGTTATTTAGGTAAACTAAGAATCTTTTAAGAGGAAACTGTCTGAATAGTTCTTAAGTAGACAGTATTCCTCAATATTATCGAGATAAATCCAACTCATAATTACTTATGAGAGAACAAAATCCCTCAAGTTTTGTTAATTTTATCCGTAAAATTAATAGATGAAAGTTAATATCAACATAAAGTGAACAATTAGTCCTAATCAAAATAGATTTGAAATATTATTTAGTTACATAGTCATACTGACTTAGTCATTTTGTTTTTGTTTACTTCCTGTCTTATTTTGAAGTATGATAACCTAGTCACATTACATTGCACTCTAATAACATGTTTTACTCTGTTTTGAACAGCAAAGCAATTTAAAAATATACTATAACATCAGAGTGTAGTGCTTAAAACTGTCTGAGAGCGAGGGAGAGTCAAATTAGCCATGTCAACTGCTTTATATGATTTTGCTGCTATTTGATTTGAATAGAAATGTATACCTGGACACGTTACACTATAAGAGCCAAGTGAAAGGAAAAAGAAAGCAGAATACTTAGTGTTCAAAGTTAGCTAGAAGATTATTGGATTGGCAATGAAAAAAAAGTACTGATTTTGACCTAAAGGTTTTTTTCAAAGTTCATCATAATATCCAGCAATTTATCATAATCTGAAATAAATTATCCTACTCAATTGCAGTGGCCATATATGAAATAATACCAACTGTCAGATAGACGGGTCAACACACAAGCTCGTACAAGGTTCATTACATCAAATCACCTCACCTTACAACATCATCCAAAGAACCAGTGGACAAATAGAAAGTAACGTTAAAGTCAATAAAAGGAAACAGAAGAAACCAGTGAGTTAGAGGCAATGTAAAAACGTTTCAAAATGTTAAACAGTGGATACATCGCACCACTGTGATCACCTTTCAGCCACTTCTCCAAGGTTTTGTAACCATTGATTTCAGCAGTCTGGAAGACCCCAGCTAGGCAGTTGATATCTCTTTATACAGCTGAGATCAATAGTTAGAGGCTTCATGGATTTCTGATGTCGCCTCCAGTCTTCTTATAACTCAATCCAACCTCGTCTGACATTACATGTCGAGGCAGGTGGTAGTTTCACATGTGCAATACATGTACAGCACAACTGAGCCGGTTAAGATTAACACCCTTAGCATTATTCACATGCTGACTGCACTATATAACAGCAATGCTAAGAACACATCCGTGGTTGAAAACCTAGTTTCCTAGTATATTTCACCGTGATGGCCATATCTGATAATCGTATAACAGGAAAGAAGGACTGCATAATAACATATCGAATATCTCACCAGTGCAAGAAATAGAGGCAACTATCGATTTCAAAATGGACCTCTTGTATCCGAGCTAAGATTTCGTCATTCAAGCTGATACAACTCCAAAAATAAAATAAATGGTCAACACATTCATCCGTTTCACTCTCTGACACTTACGGTACCGAAAGAGAGTTTGAAAAGAATTCGAACAAATAACCAAGTTGTGGTACAAAATTAGTTGAAAGACGTTTGCCTCAAAACAACTTTCGTAAAACCAAAGCATAAGTAACCTTGAAACCAGTTCTACAAATATACAAAGTGAGTTTGGAGCTAATATATGAAAGCGGGACAACTTACAGATAGAGTGAGAAAAGTTTTAATTAGTTAGACTGCGCTGATTTAAGTTCCCCTGCAAGATAAAGAAGTGAAAGTGTCCTCCACATCCCTATTTATCTATCAAGAAATCGATCTCCGGAACAAATTACGAAATTCAGTTAAAGTTATGTGCTTTCCTTAGTTATAAAACATGCATTGACTGTTAAAAGCCTTCATAAGGTAGTCAAAACTTAACTAAGCTGTTCTTAACGAACGAAAAATTTTAGCATTTTGATAATAAGAAAGTATATGTTCCCTTTGGATGATGAATTTATCGTCATTTTTTAAATAATATACATTACAAAACAGTCGCCCTTTGTTCACAGTAAAAATAGGTCGGTTGCACACAATATTTCGGTAAAAAATACGTGGATGTACTTACGAAAAGACGGATTCGAGATATAATCTTTTCCAAACTTATAATAATGAGGAAATCACTGGGTAAATTAGACAAATGTACATATTGAAGTAAGAGTGGTACTACTTATCACTAAAAATGACTAGTAACTGGCTGAAGGGAAAAAAAAGTTAAAAATACTAAGAACCAGTGAATGGTACATTATCTAGGAAACTACGTTATTATAAACTTAGGTAAATGCATCTGAAACAAAACGTACGTACGCAGATGTTATGGCGCGATATCTTTCCTGGCCGGCTGTGTCCCATATCTGGGCCTTCACGACTTTTCCATCTATTGTGACATTCCTTCAAACAATAAAATCAATTATTCACGACTTACTTTGTAGCGAAGTCAACACCAATTGTACTTTTACTGTCTAGATTGAATTGGTCGTTGGTAAAACGCGAACGCAAATTCGTTTTTCCAACACCTGAATCTCCTATCAGAACAACTAAAAAAATCAGAAATTCACTATCTGTTTCTTACTTTTGAAAAGCAAATTACATTGGGAATCTCTCTTTATCATGATTACTAAAAACACATTTGAAATTCTGTTTCACAATGTCCTTGAAATTCGAATCCACTAAACAAGAGTTTGGTAATAGAATGGTTTAAACCTTCAAAGCAACGACAAACCACAACGATGAAAAAAACGACAGCCTGGTTATCCAGCTTCCAATCCAATATTGATAGTGCGAGGTTAGAAAACTGGTAGTTTTTGATCTCTCGCGTCTAGTTCTTAGGGCTTGGTTCGAGTTGTTCGCTTCACTCCTGCAGTGGACGAGGAAATACCCTCTGCTTTCTTGCTTTTAGCTTCGGTGAGGTGGATGTTTTGTGGGTTAGTAGGTTGTAATTTGTAGAGTGATTAGGGAGCTACGGGTTGCTGGGAGGTTTAGAGAACTGCCGTGACTCCTGTCTGTGTAAGTACCTGAAACAGAATAGTTAGGTAGTGGTAAAGGAATGAAGAGAGAATAAAAAAATTAGGAAAAAAAGAACAAAAAATAATAATATAGGGAAGAGAAAAGGGAAGGAGAAGAAAATGAGGGTGAAAAGAGAAATGAGAAGGAAAGAAAAGTATTTGGGAATTGCGCGAATGGTCGCGTGGGTTTGGTTCCTACAGAAGAACTAGTAGGTAATGTGGGTGCATTAAAGAGGGAGATAGTGAGTGGTAGTTAGGAGGGAGTTGGAGGCTGGTGAAGTTGGTGACTACCTGAGTACGTCCGTGGTAGTCCATGCGAGGTGATATAACTGTCTAATCGCCTCTTGAATGAGTCGACTGAAGGAGCTATAACGATATGTCGCGGTAGGGCATTCCATATAGCACATACTCTTAGGGAGAAAAATTTGGACCTGAGTATGGTGTTGGCTCTCTGGTGTGCTATCTTAAAGGGGTTTCCTCGTGAAGATCGTTGAGTTGCAGGCAAAATTGATTTGTTTGCATGGTCTGCCTGATGGGCGATCTTGTATGCCATAATGAGGTCACCCCTTTTCCTGCGATAACCCAAGGTAAATAGGTTGAGGTGTTTAAGTCTTTCAAAATACGTCTTTCCCCTTAGCCCCACAACTGATTTTGTTGCAGTTCTTTGTATTCTTTCAAGGAGATTAGAGTCTGTCTTGAGTGTTGGAGGAGCCACCGTATTGAAGACCTCTAGGTGCGGCCGCACGTAGGATTTGAAAATGGTGAGGAAGAGTTCGGGAGTGAGGGCGCCAAGCTGTCTACGCAGAAAGTGTAGAATAGCGTTCGCTCTGGTTGCCATACCTTTGTAGTTGGAGCTCGTGTCCATGGACACTCTGGTGATAGCACGGTTGCTCAACATGTACTGGAAGTCGGTCGTACTTGCTTCATTTTTACTGATGTGCATTACTTTGCACTTTTCCAGGTTGAAGCTCAGGCCATTTTCCGACGACCAGAGCTCGAGTTGCTGCAAGTCCTTTTGTAGTGCTGTACAATCAGCTTCTTCGTTTACCACCCTCCAAATTTTTATGTCGTCAGCGAAGAGGAGGATGGGTGAGGATATTTTGTCTGGCAGATCGTTGACAAACAGGAGGAACAGAAGCGGTCCTAGGATTGCTCCTTGGGATACTCCTGACGTCGAGGTCTCCACTCCGACCTTATTCTGTTCACTTTAGTGCAGAACTGCCTCCCTTCCAGGTACTCCTTGAACCAAGAGAGTAGGGGTCCACTTATACCAGCTGACATGATCTTGTGAAGCAGTACTGTGGGTGGGACACTGTCAAATGCTTTGGCTAGGTCGAGAAATACAACATGTACAGGTTTTCTATTATCCCAGCTTTGTGTCCAGTCGTCCCAGGCGGTTAGTAAGTTGGTGGCACATGAGCGACCACTACGAAAGCCGTGCTGAGCAGTGCACAGTGTTTTCCTATTGAGGAATTCCCAGATGGTGTCAGCTACCAGGCTTTCCAACACTTTCGACACAATAGGGAGTGGGGCAATTGGCCTGTAGCTGCCAGGGCTTTTTCTGTCTCCTCCCTTGAAGATGGGTGACAAGATGGGGCCCTCTTCCATTCTTTAGGGAGTTTGCACGAGTCTATTGAGTGCTCAAAGAGGTTGCGAAGTGGTTTAGTAAGCACCTCGGCGCAGTTTTTCAGAACCACTGGTTTCAGGTTATCGCAGCCAGGGGACTTGCCCGGACGTAGCCTAGATAGCTTCTCGAACACCTTTTTCTCTGTAATAGAGACGTGACAGAGGTATTCGTTATTTACGACCTGGTCGGTGTGGATCTTGTGTCAGTGCTGAGTTGGGCTTGGAAGTGTGAGCTCAAAAGCTCGGCAATCTCTAGACTGCCTAGTACACTCCCGTCATGGCCTGTGACAAGATTCACTCCCTTACTGGTCGACTTTCTTCTCAACATGAAGCGGTACAAGTTTTTGGGATTGCTTTGTAACCTCGCCGCCAAGTTTGTTTGATAGGAAAATCTGTCGCTACGCACTCTAATGTTACAGCGGTTGCGAATCCTTTTGTAGTTCAAGAAGTCAGACTCCCTGCGTGATGTACACCACTTGGACCAAGCCTGCTTCTTGCTCTGGATAAGCCTCTCTGTCCCACGCTTTAACCATGAGGTTCCCACTGATGTGTAGCATCACCCACTTTCTCTGAGAGGCCAGCAGTCTTAATTGCATCCTTCAGCTTTTGATTGAAGGGTCTGATGCCTCTCCCTTCCGTCCCGAAGAGGATGGACGGGGCGTTGAAGTCGCCGGCGATGACTGAGGAGTCGTAATTAACAGAGGAAGTCGTTAAGATCGCCCTGATGACCATTTCCTTATGTATAGGGTGGCTGGTAGGGGACCGATATATGACTCCGAGAAGGTATTTGGTACAGCGGAGAGTGAAGTAGCACCATAGAGACTCTGGGAGCTGGGTTGAGGCCGTATCGCTAGCCATCCTTGCCCCTAAACAGGAGTTTACGTAGATAGCCACTCCCCCTCCTGCTCTATGTTCCCTGTCCCCGCAGAAGAGTTCCGTGCCAGTAACATGCATCTCTTCGTCGGAGATGTCCGATGAGAGCCAGGATTCGGTGATGAATATGATGTCGGAGTGCTGATGTTCACGCAGTGTCCTCATTTCTGCTACCTTCCCTCTTAGGCCCCCAACGTTGCTGTACATACATATGAGGGTGTGCCTGATGAGAGGGGAGGCCTGGATGTGTATTTTCGCGGGATGAGCGCTTACGTGGTTGGGTCTGGCCTCGCCAGTCCTCATAGGACTGGCACTGTTCCGTTTCTTTGTGTGTTGTTGTTAACTTGAGTGGGGGCTGTGGCAATGGTGGCTTCTTTACTTGATGTATCTAACTCACTGGTCAGAGCCTGTGTGACGACCACTGACTCCAGAGGTCTTGGTGGTTGCCGTCTCTCCCCTTGCCTTGTGGGTCTAGGCTTACTTTCACATATACGTATTGAGCCACCCATGCGATCTTTCTCATTATACCATGCGTGTAGAACGTCTGTGAGGGAGGCATATGAGTCGAACTGGACGGCGAATAGTCTGGGATTGGGTATGGTCTTCAGATGATGACGAAAAACTACAAAGAACTGGAAATTGGAGGATTTTCCTTAAAGAATCGCATTATGTACTTCACGCACTAAAGTTTGGACAATTTGACCACGAACATGCCCATTGAGTCATACAGAAGAGATAATTCAGCGAGGAAAATTTTCTTTTTCGACGATATCATTTTCTAAAGCTGTACAACCGTATTTATACATATCATAAACACATAACAGTCCATTATAAAACAATAGGGTATAATTACATCACTAACCAAATGATACGAAAAACCGAATCGAGATTGCAAAGCATTTGCGCAATAATCTAAAACAGCAGAAATATAGGCCGCACAAAGTGCACGCTTTCCAAACGTATCTCGGGGCACTGTCTTGCATGGTTGTCGACGAGAGAATGTAAATCAATTAACAGTTCAATTCCCGAACATTTGGTCAACTCTGGACATATAGCTAGGCCAGAATCTTCCCTCAATGTCATTTATCGTGTCAGATGGAATTGTTCAAAAGGAGCACGCCTTCGACAGTTGTGCACAGTGGAGGCAATGGCAGTTCATCAATTCAAGCCTGATCTCTACGTACAAAACAAGTATGTTCAATCTCCCATCTTACCATGGACTTAACACATTCATTTTTTCGACTTCATTATAATTAATTGGTCTATTATTATCACCTTCATTGTGACCCTTGTCTCATTCTTCACCTTCTTTACACCTATCGTTCAAGTGGACACTCAATATTTGCGTTTCTTATCTACCAACAATTTTCCCCTTGTCAAACTCCCCGCCTTCCTCAATATTTCTACCGTCTTAGATTATTACGCAAATGCTTTGCAATCTCGATTCGGTCTTCCGTAGCACTTGGTTGGTGATGCAGTTGTACCCTATTGTTTTATAATGGACTGTTATATGTTTATGATATATATAAACACGATTGTACAGCTTTAGAAAATGATGTCGTCGAAAAAGATACTTTTGGACAATTCGTTTAGGGACTGTATAAACTAAGTTTATGTTACCATAGTCCTGTGTTTTAGGGTTTTATAAATGGTGGATTAACGCTAGATGGTGCAGGCTTGTTCCAATGGTAATGCTGAATTATTAAAAAGAAGACCAAGTTTTAGCTGAGACAAAGTAGGGGGAATAGGATAACCAAGGCAGATAGCAGTTGCCTATGAAGCTACTGTAATGTACTGGGCCCCTTCTGAAAACATACTGCCACCGAGCGTAACACCTAGTTGGCACTACAGACATGAAGACGATAGTAAAGCAGGACTAGTTACCAAGTGAAAAAGCATTATTAGACTGAACCGATGGGTGAGTGTACAGTATAAATATGTTAAGTACTAGTTGGTAAGGATGCCAAATAGTGATGGAATCAGCGACATCATTTGATTCCTGCTAATTTTGAGGTAGTCAAAGCCTCGGAAGTTAAGGACAAACCTAGATATCTAGTGGCCCGATCATCTCAGCAGATGATCGCTTGAGGTTGGTATCAACGTTTAGG